ACTCGCGAGCGGCGCGCCGCCGGCGGCGCTCGAGGACGACGCCGCGCGCGTCCGCGCCGCGGGCGACGCGCTCGAGCGCCGGGTCGACGCGCTCTCGACGCGGAAGCGGGCCCGGGACCGCGCGCGCCTCGACGCGGAGCTCTAGCGGGCGGCGACGCGGAAATTAGAGCGCGCGCGCGCGCGGCGTCGTCCCGGGTCAGTTCGTCGTGGAGGAGGACGTGGCCCGGAGGACCGTCGGGAGGGGCTTGCCGTCGAGGAGGATCTTGGCCGCGTCGCCGCAGTGGACGGCGGCGTAGCCGTCGCCGCCCGCGTCGGGCGACGGGACGTCGACGACGACGGGGTCGAGGACGACGACGACGGCGCCCGGCGCGAGCTTCGCCGTGTCGCCGTCGTAGACGCTCAGCGCGACGCAGGGCGTCGCCGCGTTGCCCCGGCCGAAGGCCAAATACGCGTCGGGCGGCACCGCGCCGTCGCGGCGGAGCTCGAGCGCGACGACGAGGACGACGAAGGTCCGGGCGTTCGCCGCGCTGCGGAAGTGGGCCGCGGCGTCGGCGTCGGACGCGCCCAGGGGCGCTTTGACGAGGTCCGCGAGCGTCCGCTCCGCGTAGCCCGCGGGCGCCTTGAGCCCCGCGTTCGACCGAAGGGCCGCGTCGAGCTCGTAGCGCCGCTTCGGCTTGAGCGCGCCCTTGCGCCGCACCAAATCCTCGACGCGCCGCACCCAGCGCTGCGTGTCGTCGATCGCGTCCTGGGCCGGGAGCGCGCCGTCGAGGTCGCGCGCCTTCCCGAAGTCGGCGCACGCGCCCGCGTAGTCCTCGACGTAGCGGCGTAAATGGCCGCGGTTGAAGAAGAGGTCCGGGTTCCCGAAGGTTCCACGAATGCCGCCGACGTCCGGCGGGTCCTTCCAAGTTTTGTCGTACTTGGCCTCGGCGGACGCGTAGGCCTTGGCCGCGAACCGGAGGTCCCGGGGGTCGCGGCCGCCGGCGCCCCGCGAGAAGAACCGCGCGACGTGCGCGTTGCCCAGGACGTACCAGGACTCGCCGTCCCCCAGGTCGCACCGGAGCGCGTCCTTGGCCAGCGCGACGCTCCGGTCGAAGGCGCCGTCGGCCGGCCGCGGGCCCGCGCGCGCGAGCTGGCTCAAAGCGCGCGCGGACACGGCGTCGCCCGCGCGCGACCGCGCGGCCTCGTAGCAGTCGCCGGCGCCGGCGGTGTCCCCCTTCTTCCAGAAGGCGTGGCCCAGCGCGTTCCACGCGGCGACGTCGTCGGGCGCGAGCTTGACCGCGCGGCTCAGCGCCGCCTCGGCCGCCGGGTCGTACGCGTCGCCCGCGTCGAGCGCGCGGCCCCGCACGAAGGCGGACCGCGCGCGGGCCTCGGCGCTCGACGCGTCGCAGGCCTCGGCCGCGGCGACGAGGCTCGACACGCGCCGCGCGACGAGGGCCGCCTTCGCCGCCGGGTCCGACGCGAAGAAGCCGTCGCGCACGGCCCAGAGCTCGCGCAGCTGGGCGTCGAGGCTCGGCGCCGCGGCGACCTGGGCGGCCATGGGTCGCGCGCGAGCAGGCGACGGGCGCGCGGACGTCGGCGAGGCCCCGTGAGCGGCGCGAACCGTTGCGGTTTACGCGCTGTGGCAGCGCGCGCGAGATTACTTGCAAAATGAATTAGTTCAACAGGCACTCAACAACGAGGGCGCGGCCTCAACGCGCGCCTCAACGAGGCCGTGGTAGCTCGTCCACGAGCTCGTCGGACGCCTGCACGACGAAAGGCACCACCGACACCTGCGCCCCCTGGAGAAACAAAAGGCGCCTAGTCCCAGTCCTTGTTCCAGGCGAGGTTGAGCATCTCGTGGCGCTGCACGGTGATGTGGCAGGTCTCGTCGGCGTCCATGGTCCCGTCGGTGAAGGCCCGGTGCTTGAGCCGCTGGTGGCAGGCGAGGTTGTAGGAGTGGTAGGGCCAGAAGGGGATCGTCGCGCCGGCGCCGGGTGCCTCGGTGAAGACGACGCGGAAGTTGACGGCGAGGCGGTCGTTGGCCTCGCCGTCGAGGAGGAGCCGCGGGTCGCTCATGTGGAGGTGGCGCTTGCACATGATGAGGCAGTCGCCGGGCGCCATGGCGAGGTACTCGAAGCGGAGGCCCGCGTCGGCGACGGACGCGAAGCGCTTGAGCGGGTACTCGTGGGCCGAGGAGTCGTGGAAGATCTTCGCGAGGCCGCCGCCCTTGGTCGGGACGTAGCGCACGCTCGGGTCGTCGGGCCGGAGGTCCGGCGTCGACACCATGAACATGTTGCCGACGCCCGCGCGACCGTGCGCGCGCGCGAGGAACCAGAGCTGGAAGCCCGCGGCGCCCGGGAACTGGACCCAGTCCGTGTCCCAGTGGATGACGGGGAAGTAGGCGCCGCGCTCCTTGTTCATGCAGTAGTAGACGCAGCGGTCGAGCGTCGGCCGGGTCCCGTCCGGGCAGGCGCCGACGTGGGGGAGGCACGCCTCGACGAGCGCGTCGACGGCGGCGTACATCTTGCCCGTCGCGCCCGTCTCGTAGTCCGCGAGCGCCTCGAGCATCCGCGGGAGCAGACTCGTCGCGACGATCTTGCGGCTGCCCGCGGCGTCGGGAGAGGGGTCGACGACGTCGCCGGGCCCGAAGGACGCGGCGCCGAGGCTCGGCGCCGCCTCGAGCGTCGGGAGCAGGTCGCGCAGGTAGGGCTGCCCGACGTTGATCGACGCCGTCAGGTCGCCGTAGACGGCCGGCAGGATGTGCTTGTGGTAGAAGGCCGGGAAGTGGGCGATCACGAGGCCCTGGAGCCACTCCTTCGTCGCCATGCCCCGAGGCCGCGCCCGCGCCGCGGCGGCCGCGAGCGCCCAGGCAACGGCGGCGACGGCGACGGCGACGTGGCTCCAGGCCACCTCCATCGTCGACGATGCTCGGGCGCGGGGAGGTCACACCATTTCTGGCTGGCGCCGAAGGGCTGCCCGGAGGCTCATGATGCCCGGCAAGAATCCGGGCTGCCCCCAGCGCGCGGCCTCGGCCCGCGCGCTCCTCGGCTCCGCCATGGCGCCGGCCAAAGCCACCCTACCGCAGGCCGTGGTCAAGCCGAAGCCCTTCGCGACGAAGGAGGCGCGCCTCAAGCTCTTCGGCGGCGGGTCCGCGCCGGCGTCGCCGGCCGGCGGCACCCGGCCGACGTCGCCCTTCGGGTCGCCGGACCACGAGCTGCCGAGCAACCACGGCTCCCAGGGCAAGTACGGCAAGCGCTTCGACCGCGTCGCGCGGACCTTCGACGAGGCGGGCATCGCCGCGCGCGCGGAGCGGCGGAAGCGCGCGCAGCTCCGGTTCAAGATGGTCTTCGACCTCGTCGGCGCGGTCCAGGCCTTCAAGCCGTCGACGGCGGCCGTCGCCAAGGAGCGCGAGGCCCTCGAGGGCTTCGCGACGGCGGGCCGCCGGTCCCTGCGGCTGCCGGACATCCCCGAGCCCGCGCTGCGGACGCCGCGGAGCCGGCTCCGGAACTCCGTGATCTGCGAGGTCTGCAACGAGCCGACCTGCGACGACGGCGGCCACGAGCTCGAGCCGCGCCTGCTCTGCGGCTACTGCCCCAACGTCGCCCACGCGCGCTGCGTCTCCGCCGCGGGCCTCGACTGGGGCGACGCGGAGAAGCCCGGCGCGCGCCGCTGCTGCCACATCTGCAGCGGCAACCTGCGGGACGCCGTGGCGCTGCGGCTCAAGGCCTTCGACGACGCGCGGTCCGACTACCGCACGGGCATGGCCAACGACATCCTCACGCGCGCGGTCCGCGCGTGGCTCTCCGCGAAGCGGTTCCAGGAGCGGAAGCGGCGGGTCATCAAGGCCCAGTCCGTCGTGCGGCGCTACCTCTGCCGCTCCAAGTTCCGGCTCCAGCGGGGCCTCTTCAAGCGCGCCATCGCCGTGCGCCTCCAGGACGTCGTCGTGTCGTCGCTCGAGCCGCCGCCGGAGAACTGCAGTCTCCACGCGATCCTGTCCGTGCTCGACCACACGCAGCGCCTCACGCTCTTCTCCTTCGACATCGACGAGTGCCCCCTGGCGCCGAAGCGCGCGCCGGACCGCGCGACGCCCAAGGCGCGGCGGCGCGCGTCGAACGCGGGCGGCCGGCGGCAGACGACGGCGGACGCGCAGGCCGAGCTCGAGGAGGCGCGCGAGGAGCTCAAGCGGCTCCGCGCGAAGACGCCCTTCGCGACGTCGCGCGCGGCCTTCCACGTCGAGAACGTGCTGCCCGGGTCGACCTACGACGTGACGATCGTCTACACGGTCTTCCTCAAGACGCGGTCCGGCGTCGAGGGCCGCATGGAGATCACGCACCTGTTGGGCCAGGGCGCGCACCACATCCGGGGCACGCCCGAGGATTTGCAGCGCTTCGACGGGTCCCGGGGCGCGCGCGAGTGGCTCGCGGTGGAGCTCAAGCCCCACATGCGCTACCCGCTCCGCGACCAGAGCCGCGAGGAGATGCGCGCGATGGTCGCGGGCGTCTACCGGGGCTACGTCAAGGCCGAGCTCAAGGTCCAGGTCGAGGGCCTGAACAGCCTCTACAACATGTGCACCTGGCTCGAGGCGCCCCACTTCGAAACTCTAAAAAAGTCGGAGGGCGCCGCGTCCGCCGCGAGCTCCAAGGGCGGCCGGAAGCAGCTCTGGTGGGCCATGCTCTGCAACGGCATGTTCCAGCTCTACACGAGCCAGGGCGACGTCCAGGCGCGCGTGTCCCTGCTCGCGCACCGGGCCGTCGTCGACTACGAGCGCCTCGCGAAGTCGCACGGCTTCGCGATGACGCTCCCGGACCGGCGGACGTGGTCCTTCGCGCCGCTCTCGAAGCACGAGGCGGGCAACTGGATCTTCGGCTTCGAGTACTGGCGCCTCAAGCACGCCCACGGCCACGCCGCGGCATTGGGCCTCCTCTGCGCGCCGACGCCGAAGCACGACGGCCGCGGCCACCACGGCCACCACGCCCACGGCCACCACGGCAAGCGCATGTCCGCCGCGGAGCACCGGCGGCGGTCCCTCGCGGGCGCCGGCCCGAGCGCGCGCTCCATGGTCGCGGCCGGCGACGGCGACGCCGCGCCGGCCGACCAGGCGCGGCTCTCGCTCGGCGCGCTCTCCGCCGTCGCCGCGGCCATCGTCCCCGGCGGCGGCGGCTCCCGGCGCGGGTCCACGGCGAGCCTGTCGCGGTTGTAACAGCCGGCCGGGAGTGTGTCGGGCATTTCGTCGAGGTTCGAAAAATGCTGACTTCAACTTGAAGTTCAACTCACGGATTCCCTACGCGCGGCCGTGCTCGAAGCCCTCGTCGTGGTCATGCGACGCCGCTGGCACTCCCCGACGGCGGCCGGTCCGCCCGCCGCTAGGCCAGGACGCGAGCGCCATCGGGAGCGTCGACGAGGGTCCCGCGGAGTGGGCGGCCCGCGGGACGGGGGAGCGTCCTTAAGCGCGCGCGGGCCGCGGCCTAGAAGCATTGCGCCGCGTTCAAAGAAGGTGAGGTATCCCAGGAGCACCAGTTGAAGACCTCGTAGCAGTCGGAGTAGGTGTGGGCGAAGGAGCCCTGCATCTCGAGGCCGTGGCCGGACGTGCCCTCGGTCCACATGTGGTCCTTGGGCGTGCCCGTGTTGATCGTCGTCGTGCCGTTCTGGCCGTGCGGGTGGAAGCTGACGCCGCTCTCGGCGAAGACGGACATGTAGTCGTCGAGGGGGCAGTCCTGGAGCATGATGCCGAGGTGGCGGTCCCACCAGGACGTCCAGCCGCCCGACGAGCCCGACGCCATCGTCGTCGACGTGACGTCGTAGACGGACGTGAAGTTGCGGTTCACCTCCTCGATGTAGTCGACGAAGGCCGCGACGGACGTGCCGCCGCTGGTCAGGGCGTCCTCGTTCTGGACGAAGCGGATCTCGTGGGCCACGTCGTCGTAGGTGTAGACGGGCACGGACGCCGTCGCCCACGCGCACGTCTCCGCCGCGTCCGACGACGTCGAGACCTCGAAGGCGACGGCGGGCATGTGCTTGTCGTACCAGGCGGCGACCTGCTTGGCGTCCTTCGTCGCGATGTTGCTGCGGATGGGCATGAGCACGGGGAGGCCGATGGGCGTCGCCGTGGCGCCGGCCTTGAGCTTGGACGTGTAGACGTGGTCGAGCTCGTCGGCCGTGTACGACGTCACGAGGTGGCTCTCGGCGCACTCGGAGCCCGACTTCCAGTCGGAGACGTCGCCCCGCAGGACCGACGCGTCGACGACCGTGGACGTCAGCTCGAAGACCTTGCCCGACGGCGACCAGACGAGGAAGCTGTACCACGTCTTCCCGTCGGACGGGTTGACCTGCTTCCGCGCGAGCACGTCCGCGCCCGAGCCGTAGAGGTGGCCCACCGTCGACGTCAGGTTCGGCGCGTAGAAGGTCAGGGAATAGTCCATGAACTGGTCGTAGGCGTCGGCCGCGTGGGCCTCGCCGTGGAGCGCGGCGACCTTCGTATCCCAGTCCTCGACGGACGTCGTCCCCGCCTCCGTGACGTAGTTGTGGACGAAGTGGAGGCCGAATTCCAAGCTGTGCATGCAGGACGTCTTGCCGAGCTCCGCGCAGCCGTGGGCGTCCGTCACGTCCCGGTACGTGCAGCCGAAGAGGTCGTCGGCCCAGAGGCCGTCCTCGAGCGGCGAGCTCGACGCGAGCGTGTACTTGTAGATGACGGCCGTGTCCTGCTTCAGGCACTGCTTCGCCGACGACGCCGCCGCGGCGAGCGCCGCGGCGGACGACGCGCCCAGCGCCGGCGACCGCGCCGGGGCGCCGAGCACGGCGAGGCCGCCGAGGACGCTCAGGGACGCCGCCGCCGCGAGGCGCCGCCGCGACGCCGGGGCCGCCTGCTGCGGCGGCGCCGCGACGGCGCCCTCGACGTCGGCGGCGACGACGTCGTCGTCGCACAGGGGCTGCGTCGCACCGTAGGCGTCGGCCATGGTCGCGAAGGACGACGGCAGCGTCCGGGGGCGCCTGAGGTGCTCCAATTTGCTCGGGCTGCCCCGAATGATATGATGTCGATGGTGCCGCTCGGCGCGACGATGCCCTAGCCAAGGGGCTGCCCCATGCGCGGGCTGCGCCTCGTGCTCGCCGCTGCCGCGGCGCGCGCGCGGGTCGTCGTCCACGTGTCGAGCTACGGCCGCCGCGCGGAGAAGGTGCGCACGACGCTGTCGTCGCTGCTGGACCAGACGCACCCGCCGGACATCGCCTACCACTCGCACGCCTGCCGCGACGCCGCCCGGAGCCAGCGCCTCGGCTGCGGCTGGCGGTCCGTGGACTCCGCGGCCTGGCGGCGGCTCTGCGGGTCCAACTGCTCCGACGACGGCCGCGGCGGCCCCTTCGCGGTCCCGTCCAAGGTCCGCGAGATCGCCTACACGGCCGAGGACCGCGGGCCGACCATGCGCGTCCTCGCGCTCCTCGGGCCCGCGCGCGCCGGCGATCTCCGCGACGGCGACCTCGTCGTCGTCGCCGACGACGACAAGCTCTACGCGCCGGACGTGCTCGCGCGCCTCGGTGCCTTCGCGGGGCCGCGCCGCGCCGTCGGCTGCCGGGGCTGGACCTACCCCCGGGGCCACGCGACGCTCGACGAGCTCGCGCACTCGACCTACGGCTACGCGGCCATGCGCTACGAGAACCGGGGCCGCCGCGTCGCGGGCAACGGCACGCGCGTCCGCGTGCTCGCCGGCTCGGACGCGTACGCGTTCCGCTGGAGCCGCTGCGTGCCGGAGACCGTCGGCCGGCTGCTGGACGCCCTCGACGCCGACGAGCGCTTCTTCGACGACCCGATCATCTCCTCCGCGCTCCGCGACTGCGGCGCGGAGCTGCTCGTCGTGCCCTGCGGCGAGGAGCCCATCAACCGCGAGGACGCCGTCGGCGACTACGAGGCCGCGCCGGTCGGTCGGAGCGCGACGCTCGACCGGCGGGACGCCCTCAACATCGGCGTCTACAAGAAGCTCTTCTTCGACCGCCGCCGCAAGGCCGCGCCGCGCTGACGAACCTTTATTAACGGGGTCGGCAGCCGGCGCCCGTCGCGAGGAGCAGGACGGCGCCCTCGCCCGGCGCCGCGGCGGCCTCGAGGAGGCCGTAGGCCACGTAGGCCGCGCGGAACCCGAAGCCGCGGAGGTCGCGCGCGAGGCCCGCGCCGTCGCCGCGCTGGCTCGCGGCCTGGCGCGCCCGCCCCGCGGTGGCCCAGGCGTCGGCGAGCGCGTCCCGGGCCGCCGCGTCCGCGGACCGCCAGGCCGCCAGCAGCGGCGGCGCGGGCGCGACGACCCACGCGCCGCGCGGCGCCGCGACGAGCGAGACGCGGCGCCTCCCGCCGCGGCCCGCGCAGGGGTGGGCGTCGAGGGCGCCGCGCAGGTCCGACGCCGACGGCCGGTTCGCGTGCGGGTGCGTGTGCGCGCAGAGCGGCGTCGACGCGCACGTCGCCACGCGGCACCTCCGCGCGCCGCCCCGCGCGCACGCGCGCCCCGCCCAGGCCGCCGCGGCCGTCGGCGGCGCCGCGCAGCGCCGCCGCGCGAAGTCGAGGCCCAGGCCGACCTCGCGCGCGAAACCGCCGGTCGGCCGGCCGCGCGCCGCGAGCGCGAGGACCGCGGCCGCCGGCGCCGCGACCGTCGACGCGTTCGCGAGCGCCGGCGGGAGGTCGGCGCAGGGGCCGGCCGCGAGGCGCGCGCGCCGGCGCGCGCCGGCCACGCGCCAGAGCGACGCCAGCGGCGCGGCGTCGCCGTCGTCGTCGGCGGCCCAGAAGCGAAACCAGCGCGCGCCGCCGCGGCGCGCGTCCCGCGGCAGCGCCACGGAGCGCGTGCCGTTGGAGAGGTTCGTCGCGAGGAGCTCGTCGAGGGCCCGCGCGACGGCGTCGCCGCGCGGCGGGAAGGCCCGCGCGGCGGCGACGACGAGGACGAGCAGCCCGGGCCCCATCGGCCATGGCCGCAGCATCGAGTTAAAGGAGCCGTTGTGAATCCTGTCGACCCTGGAAGAGCGCCGCCGTCTCGCGCATCCATGGCGCGTCGGCCGCCGGGGCCGGGCCGCGCCTGAGGCGCTTCGAGCGCTCGGTCCGCGTCGCCGCGTCTCCCGGCGCCGCCGAACCCCCATGCGGCCGCTCTGAGCGGCCCGTCCGTCGTAGCGTAGCGGGGGCAGCCCTCCCTACCCCCATGGTCCTCGGGAAGCCCAAGAAGGCGAAGCCGCCGCCGGGGGACCTGGCCGCCGTCGCCGAGGACGGCGACGGCGGCGCGCCGTCGAAGAAGAAGCGCCGGGCCAAGGAGCCCGACGGCAAGTGGGCCCACGTGCCGAGCGACGAGCTCGCGGCGTACCGCGCGCTCTTCGACGAGATCGACGCGGACGGCTCCGGGGGCATCGACCGGAGCGAGCTGCGCAAGAGCATGCGCAAGAAGTTCGGGATGAAGCTCCCCGAGGAGCGCATCGACGAGGTCTTCGACGCGGTGGACGAGGACGGCAACGGCGAGCTCGACTTCGACGAGTTCGTCGGCGCGATGGTCAAGTTCAAGCCGAGCCTCGACGAGTCGGGCAAATCCACCCTAAAATCGGGCGTCCAGTGGCTGCGGCGCGAGGGCCTGCGTGCGCGCCTCTCGCCGGAGCAGCTCTCCTTCTACAAGGACGCGTTCGGGACGATGGACGACAAGGGCAAGGGCGCGGTCAACGCGTCCCAGTTCTTCGACCTCATCAAGTTCATCGGCGTCGAGACGAACATCAAGACCGTGCGCAAGCTCATGCGCGAGGCCGACGCCGACGGCAACGGCGAGCTCGACTTCGACGAGTTCCTCGAGATGATCGCGCGCCGCGACGACGGCGACGGGTTGCGCAAGTCCGCGACGGGGCTCGGCGAGTGGAAGTCCTGGTTCAAGAACGACGTCCAGCTCAAGATCAGCGAGATCGAGGCCCGGGAGAAGGCGGAGCGAGCGCGCGCGGAGCGCACGGAGGTGGCCATGCGCGCGGTCCGCTCCGCGCTGTCGCAGGAGCAGATCGACCACTTCGCGAAGAAGTGGGCCGAGCTCCTCGAGCCCGTGGAGCTCAAGGACCGGGGCCTGGACGCGCCGGCGATCGCCGCGGGCCTCGTGCGCGACGGCGACCTCGACAAGAAGGAGGCCAGGCGCGAGGCGAAGGCGTGCGTCGCCGTCGCGTCCCTGGACGACGACAAGGCGCGCGTGTCCTGGGAGGCGTTCCTCCACGCCATGGCGACGAAGAAGGAGGGCTGGCACGTCTGGTGGCGCGGCGACAAGATCCAGAAGGACACCAAGTCCTTCGACGCGTCCGGCGGCGTCGGCCTCATGGGCGCGATCTCCGACGAGCGCCTCCGCCTCGCGACCGAGAAGAAGCGCGCGGAGATCGAGGCCGAGGACGCGCGCGAGGAGTCGGCGCTCGTCGCGAAGATGCGGCGGCTCCGCGCGAAGCGCGAGGCCCAGGCCCAGCAGCAGCAGGAGATCGACAAGGAGCTCGAGCCGCAGTCGCCGCGCGTCCTCCCGCCCATCCTCGCGCCGATGGCCGTCTACAGCGACGACGAGGGCGCGAGCCCGCGGGCCGAGCTCCTCGGCGGCGTGCGCCGCTTCCTCCACGACGCCGTCGTCCGGGCCGAGGCCGCGGACAGCGACACGGCGAAGATGGCCGCGACGGGCGCGACGTCGACGACGACGATCGGTATCGCTTTGGACGCGCGGTCCATGTTCCTCTACGGGCGGGCCTACCCGCCGGGCCCGCCGCCGGACTTCAACCCGCCGTCGGAGACGGGCGAGGACCGCGACCCGGAGGCCGTCGCGACGTTTTTGATGAAGGCGTCGCGGCCCGCGCCGCGGCCGCCCAAGGCCGAGGACGGCGAGGACCAGGGCGACGTCGACGCCGTGACGTCGAACATGCCCGGGCGCCTGAGCGGCTTCGGCTACAAGCTGTCCATGGGCGAGGCCAACGGCGCGCCCGCGGCGGACGGCGGCGACTCGGACGGCGACGGCGACGGCGCCGCGCCGCCGGAGGAGCCGCGCGACACGGTGCTCGAGAGCTTCCGCGACAAGATGAAGCGCGACCTCGTGCTGCTCATGGCCTACCAGCAGCACGTCGGCGCCCTGCCCGTCAACCTGAAGAAGCTCTGCAAGCAGCTCTGGCTCTTCGACTGGCCGAAGCTCGGGCTCCTCTGGGACGGCGTCATCGACGACCTCAAGGCCGACGGCGTCATCTACTGCTCCGTCGACCAGAACAATCGGCCCTACGAGGTCTACTTCTGAGGCCCTGATGCTGATTTAGAGGGAGAGAAGTGGAGAGAAGTAGGAGGGGCCGCCCGACTTGGTTGACGTCAAGTTGCTCGGCATCTTTCCTTAGTCTGAGCGCTCGGGCTCGGCTTGGCCAAACGAAGCTGTGCGAAGGCAAGGAGCCTCGTCGTCGTCGCAAAGGGGCTCGGTGCGCGGGCTCGGTGGGGATCTCCCAGTTCTCGTCGCGCTGCGCTCGGCCGCTCAAGCTTGGCGACCGCCTGCGACGGCCCTCGGCCCTCCCGCGACGCCACACGATGTGCGAGAAAGGGCTCGAGGCGTGCATGTCGGGCGACGTCCTCGACGAGGTCGCCAAATACTTCGGGGAGACGAAGAACTTGGTGTCGACCTTCGCCCTGGCGTCGCGCACGCTCGCCACCGCGGTGGACCGCTGCGTGGCGAGGCGCTGCCGTGACCTATGGAGTACCAGCACCGAAATCGAAGAGCACGGCGTGCGGCTCGGCTCCGGGTTCTTCGCGCGCCGGTTGCGGGCCGTGCGGATGACCGACCTCCCCAACCAAGTGCGGCTGCCACACTTCCCCGACCCAGTGCGGCTCCCGCTGGCGTCGCGACAGCCGGGATTGACGCCGGAGGAGGAGGCAGTTTGGAGCCAAAAATGGGCCAAGTCAACCGAGCTATTCAAAGCTCTGCGCGATGCATGTCTGGCCCCGACGACACAGAAGCTCATGGACCGGTATCTTCTGATCGACGTTTCGGTCAAAACGTGTGACGGTGTCGTCGTCGGCCGTCGAAGTGTGATGTTGAGCGGCGAGCTGCCTACCGATGAAGTGCCTTTCGTCGAGGCGCTCACGATCGCGGAGGATCTGAAGCCCGACTTCTTCAACAGCAATTTTTACAACAACGTGCAGGAGGGCATCCAGGACGGATGGTTTATGGAGTTCGGCAATGTTGTGGGCTGCCGACAATGCGTGCACTCAGGACACCGCGTCAGTAGTATCGATGAAATTCAGCACGATTTCCCTGATCAGCTGATGGCGGCCGGAATCATCGACGAGTACCGTCCCTCGCAGCTTCCGTCGAGTCGTCGCGTCGTTTCAGTCCGCGTCGATCTCTTCCGCAAAGACGGAAAATCCATGTGCCTATTTGACGACGAGGTTGGAATTCCGATGCACGATCTTTGGCCTTGTCGCATGGAACCTGGTTTTACTGATGCTATGATGAAAGACAATAACATCGGCGTGAAGCTGCTGCCAAACGGCGCCGAACTCGACAACAATTTACTGCCGCCCAAGAAGTGGCCCGAGCGCTACGACACGCTCCATTGCATTCCATCGGTGTTCGCCAAATATCCCGAGGGAGATCGCGGGGCGCTCGAGCTCGTTTCCGTTCGTCTCGAATTCGCCACCGGGGAAGCAAACGCGCACGATTCGTATCTCAGCATCTTGAGCCTGCCGCACATGGGCGCCAAGGCCATCCACGGGCTGCTCGCGCTCGACGCGTGGTCGTGAAGAAAAGTGCTCACTACCAAACCCACCTGGGGGCGCGATGGCCATCGCTTACGCAGAGTAAGTTCCATACGAGCTTAGCCATCGTCGTCGGACGACGACTATCGCTTCAGGTAGGCCATGTGGGAGCTGAACTCGCTCTTCACGGACGTCTTGAACCAGGCGTCGTCCTTGACGCTCCCGTTCAGGATCAGCGAGTGCTGGAACCTGCGCGCGGCGATGTGAGTGTCGCGGCGCGCGCGCGCGCGGGGACGCGGCGCCGGCGGACCGCGTCTCGTGGCACCCGATCTTCGGGTACTTGCGGTGCAGCATGAGCGCGTGCAAGTTCGCGTCGGGCTTGCGCGTGGGCACCCAGCCCAGGCGGCTCGACTCCGTGACGGGCACGTGCTTGTTCGGCTTGAAGCGGTTGTCGCCGGGCTTCGTCGGGTCCGGCAGCGCGGGCAGCGACACCGTCGTCCGCATGCGCGGCGGCCGGTGGCTGTTGTAGGTCTCGATGATGTTGTCGACCCAGGGCCGCGGCCACCGCGGCGGCGGCGTCGTCTGGGAGATCCCGAGCACGGTGGACATGGCGCCGTGCGACCTCGTCTACCGGTCCCTCGACGACGCCCCGCCGGTGTTGGTCGGCCCGCGCCTCGAGCAGGTGCTACGGATCGAGGCGACGAGCCGCGGCGCCGTCCTCGACGTCGAGTTCCGCCACTGCGCGCGGCTCCGGGCTCTCCCTAGCGCGTCGGCGTTCGCTGCAAGTATCTCATGGCCCAGAAACATCGCCATGTTTAGGTCAGTAGGCCTCGATAAGATGTTCCGATCGCCGTGCATGTTCCGATGTTGAATTCAAGCTGAAGCACTGCATGCGCAAATTCCCAGACCCGCCTGCATGGCACTAAGCTGGACCCATCGACGAGCACGCGCCCGTTTTCGACACATCCCGAGCCCGCTCGACTTACGTGGGCCTGGGCCTCCGGAAGCTCGAGGGCAGCGCGGGCTGCTTCGTCTTCCGCTGCTTCTG